TATGATTATGATATTGATATGTGCTCCGTATGTATATGTATGCATTAGGATCATTCCATGTGAACGGAATCCCAGTTTAGGTATTGTTCGACTCGGGTGCATCCCGGTCGTTTGTTTCTCTTGCGCTTAGCAAGAGGTTTCATGAGGCTTCGGGCGAGTTAGATTGCCCTTTAGAGGTAGAGATTGTTGATGATCGATCGGTGCGAGCATCGTTGGTGTTTCGGGATTGTGTTCTGCGATTGTTTGAGGAGCGTTACTTGGTAGACTTGGTTTCCATTCCGTTGCGTGGGAACAAAGTGATTATTGGCATGGATTGGTTGAGCCCTAATGGGGCGGTGATAGACTGCGCGCAACAACTAGTGCGGGTTAGGACCCCAAGCGGGGGAGAGTTAGTGATTCATGGCGAGAGGCCGCAGTGTGGACCCACTATATTTTCAGCAGCGAGGGCTAGACGCTATCTTCAGCAGGGATGCGCAGGATATGTCACGTATGTGATGGATACCCGGGAGGCGGGTAAGGCGACAGTGAGCGAGGTTCCGGTGGTTCGAGATTTTGCAGATGTTTTCCCGGAGGAGCTACCTGAGATACCTCCGGAGCAATAGGTGGAGTTCAGGATTGACCTTATCCCCGGTGCGGCTCCGATAGCCAAAGCACCATATCGTTTGGCTCCTCCCGAGATGCAGCAGTTGTCTGCGCAGCTGCAGGAGCTGCTAGACAAGGGATTTATTCGTCCGAGCAGTTCGCCTTGGGGAGCGCCGATCCTATTTGTGAAAAAGAAGGATGGGTCGAATCGAATGTGTATAGATTACCGGGATTTGAACAAGGTAACGGTGAAGAACCGTTACCCACTCCTGAGGATTGATGACCTCTTTGACCAGCTTCAGGGAGCATCTTGGCTCTCCAAGATTGACTTGCGTTCGGGTTATCATCAGATGAGGGTCAGGGAGGAGGATACGCAGAAGACCGCGTTTCGGATGCGCTATGGCCATTATGAGTTTGTGGTGATGCCGCTCGGGCTCACCAATGCTCCTGCCGCGTTCATGGACCTCATGAACCACGTTTGCAGACCGATGTTGGATCGGTATGTGATAGTCTTTATCGATGACATCTTGGTTTATTCCAAGACTCAGGAGGAGCATGAGGAGCATCTGAGAGAGGTGTTGGAGGCCCTGAGGAGGGAGAGCTTGTATCCTAAGTTCTCCAAGTGTGAGTTCTGGTTGCGCGAGGTGCAATTTCT